GGTCCCACTTATTATAGCACACACTTATAGGAACAACAGATTTTTGGAAATATCATCTTCAATATCTTAGATTATTTAAGCATCCTTACTATCTGCAATATAAAAGTTCATTGTAAGTACAAAAGAAAACATATATATTCTTTGCCTATATATTAAATAAAAATAAAAGTATGTCTTTAGAAGAAGTTCCTATTACCAGAGGTAAATTTGTTGAAGGCCCAATATTCTTTTTTATAGAGAACCATAATCTAAAACTCACCTTCTTCGGGTACTTGCTGCTAGCAAAGAGTAACTTCCACATTTGAAAAAAAAAAGAATTTGGAACTGGTTTACTTCTCAATTTAAATAGTAAAATCAGCAATACCAGCAAATTTTGATTCTATCTGGGTCCCTCATTTAAGGCAGTTTGTCCCAGGAAAAGTGCTATTTATTCTAAGGTAATTAACCCTCCCAGAGATTTCTAAAAAGGTTTAAATGGCAGGAGTTTAAATTACAATCACACATTTTAGTTCGTATACCAGTTTCAGTCAGTTCATGTTTATATTACATATATTTCAGATGCATAATCTTTTTGTTGTTCTTTTAAAAGGCAATGCTGGGAAAATAAATTTACATCAAAGTTCAATTTTTTGTATGTTATAACATGTTTTCCTTTCAATTTTCTTTCTTATTTTCACTTCAATTTACTTTGGGAAATTCTGTTGTTTATTTCATAACCTTAGTTACTACAAGTGAAAAGATGAAAGCTCACAGATCATGTGTCTGAGTTCTACAGCTGAGTTTAATGGTATAGTTGAGTGGATCAGTTAGAGCTGAATAGATCAGAGGAACAACAGCAAAATTATAATTCTGTGGTGCTGATAGTCATGGTTTGGTGAAATCTTCCACACGTAGTGAAAGATTAGAATATTTCTCACTATAGCAATTCTACTGGGTCCATTTCATCTTTCCTTTTTTTCTAGCACTTGGGGCCATAAAAAATATATTTGAAATTTACTTGTTCCATTAAACATATATTCTAAATTTAAAGAGCTGCAAAATATTTCTGACTGTGACAAAAAAACACTCCTAGGAATTCACTAGAAATCTGTTTATAATTCTTTCTCAGTAAATAAAGAAGAAAAGATGAAGAATGCAGTAGCCAAGTGAAGTCATATATGTTGTATATGACTTTACAGCCTAGTGATTTTCATAAATGCCTTATCTGCAGTGATTTTATGAGTTGAAAGTAGAACAAAACAGAGCTTCTTGTCTGGTTAGAGAGGAAAGACACCATGTGACAGCCTATCTGTATGTCCATTTAATCTGTTTTACTATTAAAGGGAAATCCATTTAATCTGTTTTACTATTAAAAATATATACAATTTGTTGAAAATTTAATTTTTTTTTCACAACTTGACACGGTTAGAAGGTTTAAAGGAAATTTTGTGGATACGAATGCAGTTTAAAAACAATAACAAAAAAAGGCTAAAAGGCCTCAGTGTTTATGAAGGCCCTTGTTAGGCTTTTGTAATGCATGTAATAGGCCTGGCTTGGAGCTGGCACTCAATAAATTTTCTTATTTTTAAACATAAAATGAAAAAAGAGAGTGTAAAAGGGGGCGAGAAAGAGGAAAAAAGAAAGAAAGAAAGGAAGGGAGAGAGAGAGCAAGGGAGGGAGAAGAGCAGGCTGCAAAAATGATTTCAAGAAACTCAACTTTGTCAAATGTTTCTTTTCCTTTCCTTATAATTTCCCTTCATGAGATTTTTTAAAGCCTGGCTAGTTCTTTTTAAAACAGTTTTTAAAATAAAATTCACCCTTCCACCAATTTTCAAGTGCACAGTACAATGTAGTCGACCACGTGCACGTCGTTGTGTGGCAGATGCCCAGGACCAGCCCCTACCGCCCTGCACGACTGCGACTCTACATGGGAAGGAGGGCTCCCTCTCTCCCTGCCCTCAGTCTCTGGAAACCACCATTCTACTTTATCTTCCTATGAGTTTGACTACTTTAGGCACCTCATATAAGTGGAATTATGCAATATTTAGCTTTTTGCGACTGAATTATTTCACTTAGCATAATGTCTTTAAGTTTCATCCATGCTGTGGCATATGACAGGGTTTCCTTCTTTATAAAGGCTGAGTAATATTCCATTGTATGTATATTCCATATTTTCTTTATCCA